CCACTGAGCTATGTACATCCCGTAAACTCTTGTTGCTAATTCATTTTCCTTATTCAACCAACTACTATCAAGTGCAGCTGATTTGCCGCTATTTAAACTCGACAGCGTGGTTGTTGTTGTTAATTCTATACATCCATTTGCTTATTTGCTTTTTTGTATAGTTTCAGGCAGGCTCTTCCTAAACTATGTATTTGTCAATGTTATTGTGGCTTGTTAACATTTTTTTATTTTTAATATTTTTATTGAGCTTTGTACCACGATTGTTTATTAGGAAAAATTGATCCCTGCTGAAGTCTAGAAAAAGAAGTCTGATGAGGAGATGTGGTGATCTCCGAAATAGTGCTATAACTTCTACCGCTTAGACTTTGTTGCTTTTTCAATTTTCCCTAATAAACAATCGTGGTACAAAGCTCAATAAAAATATTAAAAATAAAAAAATGTTAACAAGCCACAATAATATTGACAAATATATTAAAATTTTCTTTTATTTGAGATTGAAAATTTGAAAACATTTTTTGTTATGTTAGCAAACTTCAAAGATGTTCAGGCTGCTGTATACTGCGGTTTTTGGATACATCAAAAGTAATAGAAAAATTTCTTCACTCACCCACAATTCCAAATTCCAACCGTCAGACAGACGTTTCATACGGGTAAGCGACGAGTCGTTCCGTGTGTATTGTTGTTGCTCAAGGTAAATATGCGTCTACTGCAATAAAAGTTAAGCCGTCGAGAAGAGTACGATGCAGGGTGTTTTCAACGGGCTCGAATAGTTGAAATAGTTGGCGGTATAAGGGCGCCACAAAATATTCGCGACAAGAAACTGGATTCGACAATGTAGGTGTGGCTGGAATTTACGAATTAGACGGATAACGGTGTCTTCCCTACGAAATATGACTGCATTTGATGTTAACTTTAAAAGCTCGGGCCCAATACGCAATCTCTTCACCATCAATATTATCACAGAAGCTTAAGTCAAGTAACTGTAGCTTTCTACATTTCATCAAAAGCTCATAATAGCGCTCTTTAGATATCCCTGAAACACCCATCAAGTCCAACTGTTCCAAATTGGAGCAAAAGTTTGCAATGTTTTCCACATCACGATCGGTTATTCCTCGCACGGTGGCTAAGAATAGCTTTCCGAGTTTCTTGCAATTTAACAACAATTGCTTCAGACTATCTCTAAGAGAGACCTCCCTCAAACACCAGCCGAAATCAACTTCCTCCAAATCACAGCACTTGGATAATGCCTCTAAGCCAGCAGCGGATAGAAAACGGGATTTCCACATAAACAAAGAAACCAGATTATGATTACATTGGCCGATACGTTGAGCCACTGCGTCCATATTAACTGCTATTCCGCAAAATGCCAAATTCAAGTGTTTTAACTTTAGATTGTTTTCTAGCATGGTTAAAACCAATTCAGGTTCGATTACCGTTTGAAATAAATCTAATCTTTCCAAGTTTTTTAAATTTGCCAGACAAGAAAAGTTAAGCAGCGGGGGATCCGTCGAGCAATTTCGAAGGGAAAGTTCTAGTTAGGAAATAAACATTAGATAATTTTTAAGAAATCATACATTCACAATTGAAATACCCCTTAAGTTGTCGCATACAATTCCCAATGTCTCAATACAGCTGGCGTTTAAAATTTTACACGAATCCAATCTTAAGCATATTAGACTGTCTCCTCGTTGTTGAATAAATTTTTTAAATTCAGTTGGGAAAATCGTGTTAAACAAACCACACCACGATAAATCCAACTTTTTCAACACAGTAGCTCTCTTTGCCAAGGTACATAATAGATCGTTTGTTGTAAGATGCCAATACGGTTTCAGGTTCAATTCGCCGTACAACAATGGATGAGTATATACGTCATAAAAGAATTTCGACACTTGTCCAACTAAGAACAGCGATACTAAATCCAAGTAGCTGAATATTTTCAACATAATTTCAAACGGCATGTCTTTGAGTCCAATCGTTGTCTTGCACTCCTCGGAATGTAACTCGTCGGTCATAATTTCTCTACTATTGGTTAATACGTATATAAACTTATTTAAATAGTTGGCAAAAAATTCTCTCAAGTGGTTATGATAATTGTCCTTAATATTGGGTCGAAATTGAATTCTTTGTAATTTCCGCAAAATCGAACATTTGCGTTGCCGTTCATAGGAGTCGAATACTCGTTGCGCACTTTCAATATTCACCTTCCTCCCGCCTAGTAATACAGCATCGATTTCCGTGAAATAACCCAGGTTTGAATGATTAAATTCTAGCCTTATAGTCCTA